CTAGTCGTCAAGGCTGCACGGGCGGGCTTCCGTGCCTTCGACACGGCCGCCCACCCGATGCACTACAATGAGAGCCTGCTTGGGGCGGCGCTCAACTCCGTGCTTGAGGACAAGTCTTTCAAGATCGGCCGCGAGGACCTGTGGATCCAGACCAAATTTACGCCCGACGCTTGCAACAAGCAGCCGAAGGAGCATCACCCCTACGACAAGGATGCTGGGATCTCCACACAGGTCCGGCAGTCTTACGCGTCCTCGTTGCGGCGGCTTGGACTCACGTATGTCGACTCATACCTCTTGCATGCTCCCTACCCGACGAACGCGAAGACACTGGAGGCATGGCGAGAAATGGAGAACATTTACGACGAGAGCAAGGGCAATACGATGCTGGGGATCAGCAATGTCAATTTGGGCCAGCTGCGCAACCTGATGAAGGACGCCCGAGTGAAGCCAGCGTTTGTGCAGAATCGATGCCTTCAAAAAGATAACTACGACCACGACCTCCGTGCCTTCTGCAATGAACACGGAATTAGCTACCAGGGATTCTGGCTCCTTACTGGCAACCGCCATGTCACAGGAGACCCTGGCTTCGGGCGCCTTGCCAATGCGCTTGGTCGCGACAAAAGCCAGGTCTTCTATAGGTTCTTTTTTCAGCGTCTCGGTGTGATCATCCTGTCAGGCACGAAGAGCGAGGCCCACATGCGGGACGACCTGCAGCTGGACCAGTTCAGCCTGAGCGAGGCGCAGGAGCGGGAGATACGCGAGCTCGAGGCTCCCAGGTTCACCGACGCGGACAAGGTGACCGTTACGGTGACGAACCTGTTCGCCGACAGCCTGCACCTCTTCTGGAGAAACCCCGACACCTCCGCTCTGGTGCCGCAGGGCGAGGTCGCTCGTGGCAGGTCCACGAGCATCACGACCCGCCACACGCACCTCTTCGAGGGGAAGGTCGGCGATGCCGTCAAGTTCCTGTGGCGGGCCGACCGGGAGAAGGGCGAGTCCCAGACGGTGTTCGCCCGGCCGAACGTGGACGCCACCTTCAGGAACCAGGGCACCGAGGCGTTGAGCGTCGTCTGGCGGAAGGCGGACACCGGCGAGGATCACCACCCACCAAACCACCCCAACCCAACCCGAAGGCCACAATTTGCCCTCCATTTCTAGAAGGGGGGGGGGCCGGGGACCATTGAGAAAACACATGGAACCCGTACCCCCCCCCAAACCCGAGATTCGGGTATTCGGGTTGGTATGGGTGGTCTGGTAGATCGTCAGAGGAGGCTTCGCAGGGCGACGTGGCGCCCGGCAAGAGCTTGGAGGTCTCCACGTACCTCGGGGAGCACTTCGTGGTCAGGACCTAGCCCTGCTGCAGAGGCCAAGCGATTACAGTGGATGCCCATGCGAAGAAACACCCTGGTTGCCTCCAGGGTGCCCTGGGTTTCTTGGGCTTCGATGGTCTTGATATGGAAAACGTGACGTTCCCACACCACCAAAAGTCAATGGACGTCCTGGGGTCTTAGGGTTGGGTTTCTTGTGGAGGGTTCCTTGTGGTTGGGCTATCACTGTAACCCTGTTGCAAGGGCCAAGCGATTATGAAATGCTTGAAGGCGGGGGAGGGGCGCAGCGCCCCGTCGGGAAGTGTACGATTTTGAAGGTATGCACGGTCCGTCGTCGTCTTCGCCGTCGAGACCGCCACGCCGCAGTCAGCGACCCAGTCGATAAACTCGATTGATGTTGGGTCCTTGTTTTGAAGAGACAGCGCCCCGCGTCACCTCACCTCACTTCATCTCCCGCCCTCCCCCTCCGCCCTCTACCCCATCCCTGCCTCTGCCCTCCGTCTATGTGTCTTTTTCGGCACACCCCTGGCACGTTTGTGGTCCCACACGGTGCTCCACCGAAGGCTCCACTGGCAAGATTCGCACGCGGTTTCATCCCTATTCGTCGCGCCCAGCACACGTTTCGTGCTCCATCCAAGGCCCCAGTGGCAGGGTTCGCACGCGGTTCCACCCACATTTCGGCGCACCCCTTGTACGTTTCGTGGTCCCGCACGGAGCTCCACTGACGACCCCAGTGGCAGGGCTCGCATGCGGCTCCCCGCCCATGTCGGCACGCCTCTCACATGTTCCGTGCCCCCATAGTCAGGAAGATAATTACCGGGTTGGAAGGATGGGGGTGGGAGGAATGAGGATATCCTTACCCGTTGGCGGCCGAAGGTATCCTTCATTGCATCCGGATGCTATTGCTCATGCCCGCCATCCCTCCAACCACTTCCTCCCAACACGATCACTGTTCTCCTTCAGTGATGAGCTGCGCCGAGCTCGATATTTACAACTGCGGTATGCACAACTGCATGTGTGGGGCGCTCCAGCAAGGGCCTCCACTTCGAGGATCGAAGAGGTTCTGGTATTCCTTCCTCGGTGGAAGGCTGACGGAAGCTCGCGGAAGTAAAACGAGGCCGCCACCGCCAGCGTTAAGTCGGGCATGTTTCTTTATAAGAGAAGTATGTAAGAATTGTTGAATATGAGTGTGGTGGCGATTTTTCGTGTTCTTGTGATTAGGTTTGAACAATGTTTGGCTACTTTGCATGTTTCTTCCAAATTCTGCCTGTAGGAGGACATGTCCGAAGGCCGGCGGAAGCCTGCGGAAGCAAAACGTGCGCCCCTAAGTGATGGCATTGTTTGGGGGTTCAGGGTTTCCGGAACCGGCCAGATGGTTGGGTCGATCTTTGGATACTATGAATCGTCCCTGCTTGATTTGTAATTGGACTTGGTAGGAAGGTTGTGCCGTCGTGTTGGCGCACGCGGGCCTCACAACGACAGTGGAACGCTGTCGTTGTCCCCTCCCCTTCCCCACCCCCTCCTCAGAGGAGGAGAAAGTACCCATACCTCTCCCTCGTTTTCCCCTTTTGGGGGCATCCTGGGAGGCCCTTGTCGCCACCGCGAGGTTTCAAGATCAGGTCGCTCGGTAGCATGACGCCCGCCGCTGCTCTGGGTAGGCCGGCCCCGGCCTGGCCGCGTGCCCGCATCGGGGACAGGCCTCACGTGTGCTGCCGGAGCCCCTCACGTTCAGCGTCCCAGTTGGGTCGCGCGCTCCAGGGGGGGCCAATCATTGTTCCTGTTTTGTGAACGCCTCGCTCTCCTGGGGCGTTGCTGTGTTCTTGCTCGTTAACTTGTGTCACGCGTGCGGAGCCACACTGTCAATGCCGCGCTTTCCTGTGGCTTTGCTGTGTTCCTGCTCGCGACGCACACCGCCAGGGGCGGCGGAGAGCTTGAGAGATCCATCCATAAAAAAAGCCCCCCACGTTAAGCGTCCTAGTTGGGTCGCGCGCTCAAGGGGGGCCAAGGAGTCGGGGGCGGGATGGCGATGTGGTTCCTCCTTCCTGGCCCTTTCTCCTCCTCTGCGCCCCCCTCTCTGGAGGGGAGAGCGGTGCTGGAACAGTGCTGGTGGAGTGGGAAGGACACGACTGCTCATCAAAAGGAGGGTACTCTGGGGTCTGTCGCGTCCTCCCCGGGGGGGAACGATACTGGTACGGCTGGTTGGGTGGGAAGGGCATGATCCCTGGCACATAGCGGGTTATCCGTATACCTGGCGCGGTCTGGCGCGTTTTCCTTGAAGGGGACGCGGGTCTTCGTGGACCTGGTGGAGTGAAAAGAGCACGATCTTTGGTTGATCAGACAATGTCCGCAATGCTGGCGCGGCCTGGCGCGACCTCCCTGCAGGAGCAAACTTGGTGGGACAGGCAGAGTGAGACGGCAGGGCTCGACCTAAACGGTGTTCTGACGATCTCGTAGACTGTTTTCGTTTTCATTTCGTTCTGCAGCAAAGGTGGAAAGAAGGCAGAACGAGACAAAACGAAAACACAACGGAATCGGAAAACATTGTTCAGGTTGAGCCCTGTGAGACGGGCACGGTGCCTGCTAGATCACGGGATCTCCGCGTAGCTGGCAAGGGCTGCCGCGGTCTGGCGTGACCTCCTTGCACGATCAAGCGGCACTGGTGAGCGGGCAGGGCACGATGATTGTTGCATGATGTGATTATGTGGTATCCGCACGGCGGGGACGGTCGGGCGTCAAACGGTCCTGGTGGGACGCGTGGAGCGGGACAAGCACGATGCTTGCCAGATAAGGAGGGTATGCGCAAATTGCTGGCGAGGTCCTGCGCGGTCGGGAGGGGTCTGCCTGGAGGGGCAATCGGTGCTGGCGCGACTTGTGGAGGGGCAGTCGGTGCTGGTGGGCGGTATCCCAGGGCTTCCGCTTGGACCCGTGCAGTGGAGAGGAGGCACATTCGCGCAAACCGGGTAGCCGCATCGCACAGCAGGAGGGATGATTATGACAACAAACACATCGATGGGAAGGAGCGATAATTAATTGGAAAAAAAGCCCCGCTCAGGATGTGAACACATCAAATCTGAGATCGGGGTTCTGTATCTACAAGGGTTCTAGTTTGGCCCGCGCTCGAATATGGTGCAGACGCCTAGGCTGGACGAGGAAGATGCTTCTCCTTCCCGGTTCTTTCTCCTCCCTCGCACCCTCCCTCCTCCCTGCCCTGGAGGGTCTGGTGGCGAGGGTGGGACTGGTGGGGAGGGGAGGGTGTGAAGCTAGATAAACAACAGGGTATCCCGATGGCTGGCGCGGTCTGGCGTGGCTTCCCTGCAGGGTCAGGCGGCGCTGGGAGTTTGAGGGGGAACTCCTGAGAAATACCAGAGTATCCCGATGGTTGACGCGGTGTGCTGGGCCTCCTTGGAGGGTCAGGCGGGGCTGGTGGGACTGGTGGAGTTGGAAGGGCACAACACCTGCTACATAACCTCTGTGGGAAGGGCGGGGCCGTGCTGAAACTCGTGCTTTGGAAGACTCGTGCAGTGGAAGCTCGTGCAGATGGAGGGGAGGAGGTGGGACTCGCGCGATGTGTACGCAAGAAGAGGATTCAATGATAAGGACGAGGAGGAGGAGGGGGAGGACGAGGAGGAGGAGGAGGAGCAGAAGAAGGAGACGGAGGAGGAGGAGGAGGAGGAGGAGGAGGAGGAGGAGAGTGACAAGTAGAGGAGAACGTGCTTGCGTAGTTTTTCCCCGTCTCGTATGTGCACGGATACCGGGCCCAGGGTCGGCCTTGCAAGGATGGGTGTTTTTGTTGCACGTGCCCGCACGTGCTCGCACCCTCTCCTCTCCGCAGCTTTGATTGGATCTGGCCAGAGCCCGACAAGGGCGACGGTGCCACTTGATTTTGCAGGCTCAGCGTTTGAGAAAATCATCCGTCTCAAAGCGTGTTCCACCGCCCCTCTGGAAGGACTGCTGGCGGGAAGGAGGTCCTCCTGTGGGAGGCGCATCTCGAGACCCCTGGCAAGCAGGCGACCAGCCTGGGGCCTTCCGGGAGGGCGCTCCACTTCACTCCTTCTCCCCCCTCCCCAGACATCCTGCGGCTCGACAAGATCAAGCCAAGACGGCACGTTTTGTCGCGTTTTGTTGGGGACACCGGGGGGCCAGTTCGGGCCCCAGGACCGTCAGGTAACGACCCGAGACGAAACACGGGCCAGGATTGGGTGGATCGAGAGGTCCAGGGGCCACGTCTCGAAAAGATCAAGCCTACCCCCTCCTCCCTCCTCCAGTTTTCCTTCTTCCCGCTTCCTGTTCCTTTTTCTCCTCCTCCCTCCCACGCGCGGGCACTGAAGCGAGCAAGTAAGCAGGCAGGCAAGCAAGCAAGCAAGCAAGTTTCTCCTCCTCTTCCCCCTCAGATTTGTTTGACAGGTGGGTCTGTGAGGGTCCTCGTGCCCGATGACAAGGCGAAACGCCCTTCGGGATTTTGGGGAGACCCCTGGGGGTCCCACACGGATTTCCCTGGATGCCCAGGTTTCGGAGGCCCAGAGAGGGACGAAGGCGTAACGATTGGCCTGGCGAAGGGACCAACCCTTAGCAGCTGCGTGTGGCGCAGGGCACGGCCCCCTCCGCACATACTGCGCACTGCGGAAGGGCCAGAGTGCTGGGTGGGGCAGGCGCTGGGGCGCGCTTGGCATCCTACTGGGCACCACCCGCGTGAAGGGTGTGCCGAAGTGGGCGGGGGCACGGAGCCCGCAGGCAAAGTCGCCCACTTTCGCCGCATGCGGAGCGCCCCACGGGGCACGATCCGCGCCAGGGCTGTGCCAGGATATAGGCGAAGGGCCGCATGTGGACGTTCCTTGGGGGGACCGGGGACGTGTGAGGGGTGTGCCGAAATGGCCTGGGGGCGGCATGCGTTCACGCCCTTGGGGCCGTTGGTGAAGTGTCTTCTGGGGGCATGGGGCGTGTGAGGGGTATGCTGAAATTAAGATATGAAGGCCAGAGGCAGCGAGAGGAAGGGCAGGTGGAGGAGGAGGACCAGAGCAAGACCACCATCTGGTGGGCCTCCCATTCAGGCGAGAAACCTGATTTGAAATGGAACTTATAGTTTTTCTTCCTTCCGGCGAGTACTCAGGAATGCGCAAGTGCATGATCATACAAGTCAGCGAGGTGTCCAGCGATACTCCCGTTTTGAAGAAGGCCCCCCACGTGTGCAATTTTTGCACAAGTTCACAATTCTTTTATTTCTGGCCATGAACTTCGAGGACGTCTCAAGCGAGAGCCACAGCTTGAACAGCGGCCGCCCTCCGTCCATCCAACTGTACCATGTGTTTCCATGTTTGGAATATCCGTGCTGTTGTTGTCTCTGTCAAAATTGTGGAGTGACAGTTTCCAGCAAACAGATCTTCAACGAAAGCCCTCCTTCGAAAAGGAACCGCTCGCCACCCTTGTGCCAGAAGGCACGAATACGAGGCCCCATGTCGAGAAGGAACCGCTCTCGTATCCCTGTCGCTAGCTGCTGCTAGCGCGTAGACACATGTGCGCGGCGCGAAGGCGAGGGCCCCGTCTTGAGAAGGAGCCGCTCTCCATCCTTGGAGCCGCTGCACTCCTGTGCGGCGAATGCGCATGGGCACCGAGGCGAGGGCCCGACTTTGAGAGGGCGTCGCCCCGATCTCTGACACGGCTACACGTTTAGGAGAAGTGTGCGCGGCGCTGCGGCGCGAAGAGGAGCACCTGGAGGGTTTCTCCGTGGGCGACCCGTCCTCCTTCTCATCCTTTTCTTCCTCCCCCTCCTCCTCCTCCTCCTCCTCCTCCTCCTCCTCCTCTTCCTCCTCCTCCTCCTCCTCCTCCTCCTCCTCCTCCTCCTCCTCCTCCTCATCCCCCCTCCTCCTCCTCCCCCTCCTCCTCCTCCCCCTCCTCCTCCTCCTCCTCCTCCTCCTCCTCCTCCTTCCTCCTCCTCCTCCTCCTCCTCCTCCTCCTCCGCCACCTCTCCTTCCTCCTCCTCCTCCTCCTCCTCCTCCTCCTCCTCCTCCTCCTCCTCCTCCTCCTCTCCTCCTCCTCCTCTCCTCCTCCTCCATCCTCCTCCTCCTCCCATTCCTCCTCCCATTCCTCCTCCTCCTCCTCCCTCCTCCTCCGTCTCCTCCTCCCCCTCCCCCCTCCACCTCCTCCTCCTCCTCCTCCTCAGGTCGCCTACGGCCCCGGGGGAAACGTGCAGGAGCACCCTGTGCGCGAGGCGCAATGGCGAGAGCTCCACTTCGAGAAAGGGTCGCCGTCACCCTTGCAACAGCTCCGGACTCTTACGACGAATGCTCGCGGCGCTGTGGCGAGAGCCCTATTTTGAAGAGGAGCCGCGCCCCATTCCTGAACCTGTCGCAAGTTGCTGTCACGAATAGGTGCCTGCGCTGAGTCGAGAGCTCCATTTTGAAAACAGCCCGCCTGCCGTCCTTGAAGCTGTTGCAGACTTTTACGACGAACGCGCACGAAGCTGCAGCAAGGGTTCCATTTTGAAAACGGTCCTCCATCCTTGGAGTTGCTGCAGGTTTTTAAGACGAAGGTTTGCGGCGCTCGGGAGCCCTATGTTGAAAACAGCGCGCCTTCCATCCGCGAATCTGCTGCCAACTTCTAAGACGAATGCACGCGGCGCTAAATAGGTGAGAACCCACTTACAAAAGTCAGTCTGCCCTCCGTCCTTGGAGATTTTCCCCAATGAAAGCTTCAGGATCATAAGTGGCGAGGAAGGTTCAGGCGCAAAACCAGGCCCGCGTTGCCGACACGCCTGGGGATGCGACAGGGAGGCGTCGTCTGCAGGGACACAGGATGGAGGGGAGAGTAGAGGAGCGGGGCGTGCGAAGCTGCGGGTTCAAAGCGAGGACCCAAACAGCACAGGACAGATGAATCGATCAATCCTCGACCCTAGAACTTCGATCATCACCCTCGAACAGGATGGAGGAGGGCGAGACCTGCCCGCCGCCTCGCCGTCCCGAGCCCGCAGGTGGTCGACCTGGGGCTCTCGGGAGCGCGCTCCGGTGAGCTGTGACGGCCAGCCTAACGGCTGCCGCAGGCAGGCAGGGCAGCGGGGAGCCCACCGTGAGTAGGCCAGATTGTGCTCTTGCCGTCCCCTCTGCTTGAATAGCAACCGACGGAAGAACCTACACCACTTTTCCATGACTCTGCAAGAGGCTCGCACTGTGGTTTCACTCGTGCCTTATTGCGCTCGTCATCTGCAGTGGTCCGCTCCCTTTCTCTTAAAAGAAAAAGTCAAGGGAAGAAGCACGATGGCCGTGACCAAGATGTCGTCGGATCTAGTCGATGCCGATCTTGGTCATGGTCAAAGCCTGCCGTCGCCGATTCGCATGGTTGATCCACGAACTGACGGTGGCCAAGATGAACGGTGACCAACATTGTCACCGACGCTTCCGCGTTCAGCCGTGGTCGTGGTCACCGTTCTACGGCCCTCCAAGAGAGGCCCTGCAGATCTGCCGTTCTCTTGGCCTCCCCCCCCAGAGGTCCGGCGGAGCACCCCTCCCGCAGCCAAGGGTCGGCGTATGCCTCAAGGCGGCGGCGGAGGGGCTCTCCTCGGCATTCCATGGGCCACGCTCGGGCGCGGAAGCTGGCGCGGCCCACTTGGTGACGAGCATGTGCCGTCGTGGGCGGCGCCCCTCCCTCCACGGCTCGAGCGAGCCTGGGCCGCAGCGTGCTGACGAAGGCCTGCATGGTCTGAGCTCGCCCCCCCTGCCCGCTCCCCCCCCCTCCGCGGCCATCCTGCCTCGCTTCACGCCGCCCCCATCGACATTGCGCAGTTCCCTGCCCAGCGCCCCTGGGCCGCTCGACCGGCCCCCGCGCGCCCGCCGGGTTCGCGACGAGGGAAGTTTGCCGCCAGAGGAGCATCGAGCGTGTACCTCAAGCAGTGGCGAAGCGTCCTGGCTCGCCGACAGGCCTACCATGCAATGTTCTAAGAATCGTTTGTGGGTTGCACGAAATGTTCTTAGAACAGTTCTGGCCCGGACTGTCTTGTTTTAACACATCGGGCTTGCGCTAAGAATTCTGTTTTTTGTTATTAGAAGATTTCAGGGTTCTAAGAACATTTCGTGGTAGGCCTATAGAAATGCCAGGATGGTCGGTCCCTGCTCAGGTATCATCACGGGCACCCGCCGCGGGGGAGCGGGAGGATGTTGGCCAGGAGCGGGAGCGACCCCCCCCCCTCGGTATCGTCCTCGACCTCCTCTGTGTGGTGTTGATTGGAGGTTCAGTTGGCGGCATGACAGTTTATACAGGACGAGGTTGGGCTCGTGCAGTGTGTATCCAGGAAGAGGAGGCGGAGGAGGAGGAGGAGAAGAAGTGATAAGGAGAGGAGCAGGTATAGATTAATCAACGGCCTCGCACAGGATGTGGGAAGTAAACTTTCGGAGGTACACGCCGATTTCTTGGGTCGAGGTTGGGGCGCCAGAGGGATGGGCTTCGGCGCCGACCCACGAGATTCGCGCGGTCCTCCAAACGTCTATGCTTATACCGTTGTTGATCCTCCACCAACGGTGATGTTTGAGCCTGCTTCGCTGATGGGACAGCAGACTTCTTCTGCGCCTGGGACGGGCCAGTTCTCATACTAGTACTGCCCAATCCTTTCGGATTTGACGCGCTACTGGCTGGCACTGCCGTCACCCTGTGATTTGTTGCGCGCTGCTATTCTGATCAAGGGCGGGAAAAAAAACACACCGACCCCGATAAGTGGCGTTTAATAAACGGCCTTGGGCGTTTACTACACAGCCCCGCCCTGTTCGATTCCTTCTCCTGGTGCGTTTACTAAACGCCTTTGCCCGCCTGGGTGCTTATTCTGAGGGTTTGTTTTCTGCTCCCTATAAGGCCGCATGGGAGCACCAGGAGAAGGAACGAGATCAGCGATCACACTCCCAGCGCTGCCCTCCAAGTTTCCTTCCTCCTTCAGCTCCCTGCCGCCGCCATCCTTCGAGCAGTCTTCAAGCCGAAACAAGAAATGATAGGTTGGCAACGAACGAAGTAGACAAAGAAAAACCATAGGTGCTGGGAGGGAGAGCGAAGGATGGCGAATGTGGGCCGACTCTCTATCCTCTATTCTCCCTCTATTCTCCTTTACCGCCTCTCCACTCCTTAGCTATCTTCTCCACGTTATCTGCTCTCTGCCGTCTGCATTATGCACTCTCCGCTCTGCTAGCTGAATGTATATATACACATATATATACATATATGTTTATTCAGTCTCTTCCACATACTATCCGTCTACGACCACCCGTCGGGTGATAAGGAGGTTCGGGGGCGGAAGGAACCAACGTTTCAGTCGATCGGTCTCACTATCGATCTCACTATCGTTCTCGCTCGATCGATCTCACCCGATCGATCTCACAAACGACTTCACTCGGTTTATTTCATTCGATCGATCTCACAATCGATCAGACTATCGATCTCGCAATCGATCTCACTATCGATCCCAGTACCGGTCTCACAATCTATCTCACATTCGATCTCACTATCGATCTCACTATCGATATCACAATCGATCTCACAATCAAAGCCACCATCACCATCACCAACATCATCGTCATCAACGCCATCAACATCATCATCATCATCATCATCATCATCATCATCATCATCATCATCGGGGCACCATCACCATCACCACTTCATCACCATCATCATCAACATCAACATTATCACCACCATCATTATCATTATCATCGGGACACCATCCTCGTCACCATTATCAACACCATCAGCATCATCATCCGGACACCATCATCATCATCGGAACACCGCCATCATACGCATCAGCATGCCATGACCATCATCATCATGAACGACATCAGCAACATCAGCATCTTCGGGACGCCATCATCATCATCATCATCATCATCAGCAGCATCATCATCACCAACACCATCATCACCAGGATCCCATCATCACCGCCACCATCACCAGCATCACCATCATCATCACCGGGACACCATGATCAGCATCATCACCATCAACATCAGCATCATCATCATCGGCCCACCATCACCAAAATCACCACCATCACCACATCCTCATCCTCATCATCAACATCATATCCATCGGGGCACCATCATCGTCATCATAATCACCATCATCAACATCACCATCATCATCGGGACACCGTCATCATCATCATCACCATCACCATCAGCATCAGCAACAGCATCATCATCAACCTCATCATCATTTTCGGGACACCATAATCATCATCCTCATCATCTTAATCATCCCAACTTCCCATCATCATCACCAGGATCTTCAATATCATCATCATCGGGACACCATCATCATCATCATCATCATCAGCAGCATCAGCATCACCAACATCATCATCATCATCGGGACACCATTATCATCACCATCATGGCCATCATTATCACCATGACCATCACCATCATCATCGGGACACCTCCCTCGTCACCATCATCACCAACATCATCATCATCATCATCGGGACACCATCATCATCATCATCATCAGAACACCACCATCATCATCGTCATCATATCATCATCTTGAACAACATCATCATCAACATCATCGTCATTGGGACACCGTCAGCATCGTCACCATCAGCTGCATTACCATCATCATTATCAGCGGGACACCATCATCACCAACAACATCAGCATCAGCATCATCGGGCCACCATCATCAAAGTCATCATCATCACCTCATCGTCATCTTCATCATCAACATCATCGGGGCGCCATCATCATCACCATCATCATCATCAACAGCATCATCATCAACCTCATCATCATCATCGGGGCACCATCATCATTATCTTCATCATCATCCCATCATCTCAGCATCATCAACATCATCATGATCATCAACACCATCATCATCATCATCATCATCATCTGCGGGACACTACCAGCATCATCGGCAACATCAGCATCATCATCATCGGGACACTATCCTCATCACCACCACGGCCATCATCATCATCATCATCATCAGCATCAGCATCGTCATCATCATCATCAGCATCATCATCATCATCATCATCATCATCATCGGCACACCGACGGGACACCGGCGGGACACCGGCGGGACACCGCGCGCCACCGGCCCCCGGACAGGACACATTTTTTTCGGCTGCGCCTCAGCCAGAGGCGGGACACTTCTCGCCCACCCACGCAGTTTCGCCTCGCCCGCACGCACGGCACGCACGAACACGAAACCGACACCGATTTCCCGATAGGGGGGCTTTCCGTTCCACTTCGATCTCACCCCCTCATTTCCGATGCACTTCTACTCTCTTCTCTATGTTTTTTTCTGCCTCATCTGATCTTTCTATTTTCTGCTGTCATTTTTTTTCCCAACCTTCCTGTGGTGTTGGGTCTTCGTTTTGAAGAGACAGCGCCCCGCGTTCACTCCTCCTCCTCCTGCTGCCCCCTCCCTCCTGCCATCATCATCATCATCATCATCATCATCATCATCATCATCATCATCATCATCACCATCATGACGATCATAGGGCGCTCCAGCGAAGGCCCCAGTGGCTGCGCTCCCATGCGCCCACCGCGCAGATTTCGGCACACCCCTCACACGTTTCGTGGCCCCATAGGGAGCTCCAGCGAAGGCCCCAGTGGCTGCGCTCCCATGCGCCCACCGCGCCCATTTCGGCACACCCCTCACACGTTTCGTGGCCCCATAGGGAGCTCCAGCGAAGGCCCCAGTGGCTGCGTTCCCATGCGCCCACCGCACACATTTCGGCACACCCCTCATACGTTTCGTGGCCCCATAGGGAGCCCAGCGAAGGCCCCAGTGGCTGCGCTCCCATGCGCCCACCGCACCCATTTCGGCACACAAATCACACTTCGTGGCCCCATAGGGAGCTCCAGCGAAGGCCCCAGTGGCTGCGCTCCCATGCGCCCACCGCACCCATTTCGGCACACCCCTCACACGTTTCGTGGCCCCATAAGGGAGCTCCAGCGAAGGCCCCAGTGGCTGCGCTCCCATGCGCCCACCGCACCCATTTCGGCACACCCATCACACGTTTCGTGGTCCCATGGGGAGCTCCAGCGAAGGCCCCAGTGGCTGCGCCCCCATGCGCCCACCGCACCCATTTCGGCACACCCCTCACACGTTTCGTGGCCCCATAGGGAGCTCCAGCGAAGGCCCCAGTGGCTGCGCTCCCATGCGCCCACCGCACCCATTTCGGCACACCCCTCACACGTTTCGTGGCCCCATAGGGAGCTCCACCGAAGGCCCCAGTGGCTGCGCTCCCATGCGCCCCATAGGGAGCTCCAGCGAAGGCACAGTTTCGTGGCCCCATGGGAGCTCCAGCGAAGGCCCCAGTGGCTGCGCTCCCATGCGCCCACCGCACCCATTTCGGCACACCCCTCACACGTTTCGTGGCCCCATAGGGAGCTCCAGCGAAGGCCCCAGTGGCTGCGCTCCCATGCGCCCACCGCACCCATTTCGGCACACCCCTCACACGTTTCGTGGCCCCATAGGGAGCTCCACCGAAGGCCCCAGTGGCTGCGCTCCCATGCGGGCACACCCCTCACACGTTTCGTGGCCCCATAGGGAGCTCCAGCGAAGGCCCCAGTGGCTGCGCTCCCATGCGCCCCCGCACCCATTTCGGCACACCCCTCACACGTTTCGTGGCCCCATAGGGAGCTCCAGCGAAGGCCCCAGTGGCTGCGCTCCCATGCGCCCACCGCACCCATTTCGGCACACCCCTCATACGGTTCGTGGCCCCATAGGGAGCGCCATCGAAGAAGATACTTACAATTGCGGTACTCGCAACTGCATCTGGTTGGGTCCTTCGCCAGGATAATGTTTCTCTCTCTCTCTCTCTCTCTCTCTCTCTATCTCTCTCTCTCTCTCTCTCTCTCTCTCTCTCCAATCACCCTTCCTTGTCTACTCCCTCCACTATCTACATGCGCCCTCAGCTTTGTATGCTGGGAGCCCAAAAGCCTGGCCGCCCAGCGAAGTCGGGGGGGGAATATTCACTAGCACCCAGGGCCGGGATCCCGGGAACCCAGGTTTGTGGCAATCCAGGCAGCCGTCCGCCAGCCGCAACCGATCAATCATTTTGCCAGATCCTTGAAGCATTCGCGAGGGCCCGTTCAGTGCAAGTTTTGATTGGAGCACCGAGTATGCAACACAGACATACATAAGTTATGGTTTGGGAAAATCGCCAGGTTTCCCACCTGACAGACATGTTGTTGTAGGTACGGTGTTGGTTTTCTCTTGTGGAGAAGAGTTGTTGTTGATCCCTCTCGTGGGTGCCCTTCATTTCCTCTTCTCAGCCGTAGACATATGTGGCTCCAGAGCGCAGCCGCATCAAGCTCCCGCCAGCTGCGGAGCTTGCCCTGCCGTGTCTCGAGCAGCATGGTCCGCCGCCCAGGCTGCCAGCCCTCTTCCGAATGCGGCGGCCGGCGCTGACCGCGCGCTGCTGTGAGAAGGACACGCGGTGGGCGGCCGCTCTTCTCTTGAAGAGAGCACAGGCTGTGTGAGCGCACGCCTGCGGAGGCCCGCGCGGATTCTCCCGGGGCCCGCGCCCCTGCCCTGGCGCTCGGGGCGCGCTGGAGTTGGCCGCCAGGGGTGCGGGGAGGGGGTTCCAGATTGGGGGCAGCGTGGGATGGGCTCCGGGCGGGGACGCATCGGCCCCCAATCGCCGGTCCATCGCCGATGGGGCTCTGATGGCCCGCCC